GATTTCTGAAGGTCGCATTCGATAGCTAGGGTCAGAATCTCGAATTCTCTAATATATACCTTATTAAAAATATTTGACCTTTAAGGTCAAATCACGGATTGAAATTTTGAGTCCCCCTATTTTTTCTACACCGATCGTTCGAACCAATTTCTGATGGTCGCATTCGATAGCTAGGGCCAGAATCTCGATTTCCCTTATATATACCTTATTAAAAATATTTGACCTTTAAGGTCAAATCACGGATTGAAATTTTGAGTCCCCCTATTTTTTCTACACCGATCGTTCGAACCAATTTCTGATGGTCGCATTCGATAGCTAGGTTCAGAATCTCGAATTCCCTATTATATACCTTATTAAAAATTATTCTAAGCCACACTTCGGAGTCGATCGATCGTTGTGTATTCGTTAAAAAGCTAACAGTTTCGGATTATCTCGATCCCTTTTCAAAGCTATTATAGGGAATAATAGCTTTGAAAAGGGATCGAGATGATCCGAAACTGTTAGCTTTTTAACGAATACACAACGATCGATCGACTCCGAAGTGTGGCTTAGAATAATTATTAATGCGAATCTAGTGCATTTTCTTATTAAAAATATTTGACCTTTAAGGTCAAATCACGGATTGAAATTTTGAGTCCCCCTATTTTTTCTACACCGATCGTCCGATCCGATTTCTTAAGGTCGCATTCGATAGCTAGGGTCAGAATGTCGAAATCCCTAATATATACCTTATTAAAAATATTTGACCTTTAAGGTCAAATCACGGATTGAAATTTTGAGTCCCCCTATTTTTTCTACACCGATCGTTCGAACCAATTTCTGATGGTCGCATTCGATAGCTAGGTTCAGAATCTCGAGTTCCCTAATATATGCCTTATAAAACATATTTGACCTTAAAGGTCAAATCACGGATTAAAATTTTGAGTCCCCCTATTTTTTCTACACCGATCGTCCGATCCGAATTCTGATGGTCGCATTCGATAGCTAGGGTCAGAATCTCGAGTTCCCTAATATATACCGTATTAAAAATATTTGACCTTAAAGGTCAAATCACGGGTATTTGACCTTAAAGGTCACATCACGGATTGAAATTTTGAGTCCCCCGATTTTTTCTACACCGATCGTCCGATCCGATTTCTGAAGGTCGCATTCGATAGCTAGGGTCAGAATCTCGAATTCCCTAATATATACCTTATTAAAAATATTTGACCTTTAAGGTCAAATCACGTATTGAAATTTTGCGTCCCCCTATTTTTTCTACAACGATCGTTCAAACCAATTTCTGATGGTCGCATTCGATAGCTAGGGTCAGAATCTCGAGTTCCCTAGTATATACCTTATTAAAAATATTTGACCTTAAAGGTCAAATCACGGATTGAAATTTTGAGTCCCCTATTTTTTCTACACCGATCGTCCGATCCCATTTCTGATGGTCGCATTCGATAGCTAGGGTCAGAATCTCGAGTTCCCTAATATATACTTATTAAAAAATATTTGACCTTAAAGGTCAAATCACGGATTGAAATTTTGAGTCCCCGATTTTTTCTACACCGATCGTCTGATCCGATTTCTGAAGGTCGCATTCGATAGCTAGGGTCAGAATCTCGAATTCCCTAATATATACCTTATTAAAAATATTTGACCCTTATAGGGGGACTCAAAATTTCAATCCGTGATGTGACCTTTAAGGTCAAATATCCGTGATTTGACCTTTAAGGTCAAATATTTTTAATAAGGTATATATTAGGGAACTCGAGATTCTGACCCTAGCTATCGAATGCGACCATCAGAAATCGGATCGGACGATCGGTGTAGAAAAAATAGGGGGACTCAAAATTTCAATCCGTGATTTGACCTTTAAGGTCAAATATTTTTAATAGGGTATATATTAGGGAACTCGAAATTCTGACCCTAGCTATCAAATGCGACCATCAGAATTCGGATCGGACGATCGGTGTAGAAAAAATAGGGGGACTCAAAATTTCAATCCGTGATTTGACCTTTAAGGTCAAATATTTTTAATAAGGTATATATTAGGGAACTCGACATTCTGACCCTAGCGATCGAATGCGACCATCAGAATTCGGATCGGACGATCGGTGTAGAAAAAATAGGGGGACTCAAAATTTCAATCCGTGATTTGACCTTTAAGGTCAAATATTTTTAACCAGTAAAACGCCTTTTGGGCGAAGAACGAGCGAGCGAGATAGTGAGCCCTGCACGTGCGGAAGGGCGAGAGGGTGCTTCCAACGGGCTTGTGCAAAGCATCCTTCTAACCGGTCGCTAGCGGTGTGCCAAATTTGAACGCAATCGGCCCAGCCGTTCCTGAGATCTGGAAGCGGCATTCTGCACGTGCGCACGTGCAAACGGGGTCCAAAATGACTTTTGCACGGCACCCTACTAACTGGTCCCCAACCGTGTACCAAATTTGAGCGCAATCGGCCCAGCCGTTCTCGAGATCTGGAAACGCCCCCTGCACGTGCGCACGTGCAGTAGCACCCTAACCGCAACACATGGGAATGCATTGCCTGGTGGGTGCCTACCTGTATGCCAAGTTTCAGCGAAATCGCCCCAGTAATTACCGAGCTACTGAAATGGGAACAAATTTGGCACCTCTTATTGTTGTATTTTGCACGTGCAGTGGGGGTCACTCACATAGATGAAGAGTATCCGACCTTTGGTAGAAGGGATGCAGCTACCCTATAAAAATGACCGCAAGACAATCGCTCAAGCCGCTGCTGAGATATGGGCCTCTCAAAATCATTACTTTTGCAAAACTGCTTGAACACCCTTGACTTTTCACGTGGCACGTGTCACGGCGGTCGCTGAGATGTATCAAAAGTAGTCAATTACGGGGTAGAAGGGATGGGGCTACCCAACAAAAAAGACCGCAGGCCAATCGGTCCAGCGGTTGCTGAGATATAAGCCTCTCAAAAGCGTTACAGGCCGGGCCGGGCCGGGCCGGGCCGGGCCGGGCCGCTCATACTGAGATTTTTCCGTTATATTGAAAAGACTCACTTCGCTCGCTGCGCTCGCTCGCTCGTAATAAGGTATATAATAGGGAACTCGAGATTTTGACCCTAGCTATCGAATGCGACCATCAGAAATTGGATCGGACGATCGGTGTAGAAAAAATAGGGGGACTCAAAATTTCAATCCGTGATTTGACCTTTAAGGTCAAATATTTTTTAACCAGTATAACGCCTTTTGGGGCGACTAACGGAGCGAGCGAGAGGGTGGGCCTTGCACGTGCGAAATTGCGAGGGGTACCTCCAACTGACTTGTGCACGGCACCCTACTAACCGGTCTCTAGCGATGTGCCAAATTTGGGCACAATTGGCCCAGCCGTTCTCGAGATCTGGAAGCGGCACCCTGCACGTGCGCACGTGCAAAGTGGGTCCCAACTGACATGTGCACGGCACCCTACTAACCGGTCCCTAACTGTGTACCAAATTTGAGCGCAATCGGTCGAGCCGTTCTCGAGATCTGGAAACGACCCCTGCACGTGCGCACGTGCAGCAGCGCCCCAACTCTGGCACATGGATATGCAGTGCCTAGTGGGTGCCTACCTACATGCCAACTTTCAGCGCAATCGGCCAAGTAGTTACCGAGATATTGCAACAATTACAAAACGGACACCTCTTCGTTTTGCACGTGGCACGTGCATAAGGGGTCACCCACATGCATCAGGAATAGTCCAATACTTGGTAGAAGGAATGAAGCTACCCTACAAAAATTACCGCGTGTAAATCGGTCAAGTGGTTGCTGAGATATAAGCCTCGCAAAAGCGTGACCACGGCCGGCCGGCCGGCAGGCCGGCCGGCCGGCCGGCCGGCCGCTCATACTCAGAAATTTCCGTTAATCTAAGGAAAGACTACGCTCGCTTCGCTCGCTCCGTAATAAGGTATATATTAGGGAATTCGAGATTCTGACCCTAGCTATCGAATGCGACCTTCAGAAATCGGATCGGACGATCGGTGTAGAAAAAATCGGGGGACTCAAAATTTCAATCCGTGATGTGACCTTTAAGGTCAAATATTTTTAATAAGATATATATTAGGGAACTCGAGATTCTGACCCTAGCTATCGAATGCGACCATCAGAAATGAGATCGGACGATCGGTGTAGAAAAAATAGGGGGACTCAAAATTTCAATCCGTGATTTGACCTTTAAGGTCAAATATTTTTAATAAGGTATATATTAGGGAATTCGAGATTCTGACCCTAGCTATCGAATGCGACCATCAGAAATCGGATTGGACGATCGGTGTAGAAAAAATAGGGGACTCAAAATTTCAATCCGTAATTTGACCTTTAAGGTCAAATATTTTTAATAAGGTATATATTAGGGAATTCGAGATTCTGACCCTAGCTATCGAATGCGACCTTCAGAAATCGGATCGGACGATCGGTGTAGGAAAAATCGGGGACTCAATTTCAATCCGTGATTTGACCTTGAAGATGACCTTGAAATTTGAAATGAATACGATATTCGGAATCAGCGTCCCAAACTGCATCGGATAGGTTGGATTTAGTTTAAATTCGGACTCGACGCTGAATCCGTCGCGGAATACGACGCTAACTTCACGCACGTCAGCCCGCCGTGGTATAGTCTCCATGCCTACGTGCCGTGGCGTAGTCATCTCCCACCCACCTGCTGTGGCAGAGTCCCAGACACACAGCCCGCCGTGCCGGTACTGTGATATCCGTCCCATACATACCTGCCGTAGCGTAGTCTCAGACGCAGAGGCTGCCCTGTTTACCTGCCGTGGCGTAGTCCCGTCCCCTGCCTGCCTGCGGTGGCGTAGTCCCAGACGCAGAGGCCGCCGTGCTACAGTCCCCCCGTTTACCTGCCGTGGCGTAGTCCCACACATACAGTCCGCCCCGTTTACCTGCCGTGGCGTAGTCTCAGACGCAGAGGCCGCCCCATTTACCTGCGGTGGCGTAGTCCCAGACACACAGCCCGCCGTGCCGGTGGTGTATTACCCTCCCCTGTTTACCTGCGGTGGCGTAGTCCCAGACACACAGCCCGCCGTGCCGGTGGACGGCGGCCGTGATCTCGGCGTGCGGCGCCAGCAGGCCGGTGACGTTCGAGGCCGCTGAGAAGCAGGCCACCAGCGGCCGGTCGGCCGCACTCTCCAGCCGGCCCAGCTGGGCCTGCAGGTCCGAGAGGCTGACCGCGCCCGTGGCCGGGTCCTCGGCCACGCGGACCACCTGTTATAGAGAGGCGGGTCACGGACCGGCATACGGGGGGGGGGGGGGAGGCAGTGGGGCGCAGTGGAGAGAATGCAGACCGGCGGTACAGCGGGGGAAGGGGTACAAGGTGGCTTTGACCACCTTGATACTTTATTTACACAGGCACGATCGCAGCTGCGTTCCACGGCCAATCGGGACCAACAACGATTTAGAGTCAGTCAGCCGTCAGGAGCGTTGGTGCAGCCTGATTACACAGTAAACTCAGGTGTTCAATTCAAACATTGGAAACTTAGGCTATCGACGGAAAGCAAACAAGCTGAAAATAGCGCAAAACGATTGAAGCAAACACAATGGTTTCAGGATTGAGCGCTAACCAAGGGTCGTCATTGCCCGACTGCTGACTAGCATATCTGTTAACCCTCGCATGTGTAGGGTGGGGGTCGGATGGACCCCCCCCCATGGTTTTTCGCGAATAACTCGCGTAAAAAGCGGCCGATCGCGACGAAACTTTCAGTACCCTCGCATTGATCAATTTTACACCTACCCTGAAAATTTCATGACCCTGACCCAAATGACCTTTGACCTGTGACCTCTTTTCCGAGACCATGTTTGGCCGGAATCGCGATTTCGCGTATGTCGGCTCGCACTAGCCGCGTGTTTGCAAGCTTCTCGTGGTTTCAAACGTTCAAACATGTGATTTGATGTTACTCCCGTGTGTGTCAAGGTCACCTGAAGGTCAGGTCAGGTCATTGACCTTTGGTGACCTCGGGTGACCTCGGGTCACTTTTTCGAGTTTTACATGTTTCTAGGCTAGTTTTTGGAGCTGAATTCGAATTTAGCAACCATTTGAACATTTACGAAGTAGTTTTGGTGACTTCGTAACATGTTACGAAGCTGTCAGAGGTGGTTGACACGTACTACGAATACCCGTCACGACGCCTACTGGTTGACCTGACCTGAACTGACCCGACCTGGTCTAAATGCTTCAAGACATCATCTGTGATCAAAACTAACACGATATTCGTGATCAGCACCCCGAAAAACCCCTTAGCAGCCACACTTTACGACTTTCTAACAGGTCCCGATTTTCCCGACTTTGGGTCATTGACCTGACCTGGAAGGTCAACCAATGACCTAGGACCTTAAAATTGGGTATCATCGGCTTCCTCTCGTCACGGGCAACACGCTCGTTTTTTCCGCGAAGCTCTAGCTCGATCAGGGGCCAAACGGCAAGGGGGGGGGTCCAACCGACCCCCCCCCCCTACACATTAGAAGCTGGCAAACGCCGCACACATGCGAGGGTTAAACATCTCTGCCGGTGAGCCAGTCGTGTCTGCAGCTCAGGCTTTCTCAGGGGGTTCATGAAGCCGCGGGGTCCGGGGCTCCGTCTGCATGCAGTGACCTTCACTAACGGCGGTGGCCCATCAGTCAACTGCATAGGTCATGACAACGCGGTCGGCATAGGGGTGGAATGGAGAAGTCTGAGGGACCTAAAGAATAAAGGACTTAGTAGTAAGGAAAGTCAACATGAACACTATCTTCGGAGTTCTGACCTAACTTCAAGTACCTACTGTTTGAGCTTCGAGCAAGAGGCATGGACGTAAATAAAGATGTGTTTCAATATCTGTTTTAATTTGACAAAGAAGGATTAACCCTCGCGGGCCCGGGGGGCGTTTTTCGACCCCCCCCCCCTGGCGAATATTTGCGATAACTCCCGAACGCTTAGGGATAGGTAAGCGAAACTTTCAGTACCTTTTCTCCCATCAATTTGACATCTTCTGAAGTAAAAAATTTTGACCTAGCCCCCTTGATGACGTCACAAGGTCGATTTTTCTAGACCTCTGCAAGGCAAACTTCGGCGTCACAGACACGAACTTCAAATAGCTGCTAAAAATAGAGTTTTAGAGATAAAGACAAATTACGAGCACGGTTGTGTAGCGTTTGACCTAGAGAAAAATAGAAAAATAGTTTTGGTGACCTGAGGTCAGAGGTCAGGTCAACGACCCCATAGGCGGCGGAACGATTTGAGACAAGGGGGGGGGGGGCACCATGGCTCAAGGAGCCAAACCTAGGGTACCCCCAAATCCTGTTTTCTCATCGGATTTAGGCCACTTATTTTTCGTCACAGCCCTGACACGATGATTTTTTTTAAATTCTATTTTTTACTAAACGAAAATGGCAGTTCACCCCCGTATGCAGGGGTTTAATTTTATATCTCTTTGTGGGGGCATATGCACCCACAATCCTGAATTATGTATGCCCACACAATGATGAAAATGCACCCACAAGTCTTTTACAAGGCTGCAAGCGTCCTTTCGAGAGTACGGTGCCCTTCGCATGCTCTAACGGCGTCCTCCTGACCGTCTCGCGTTCATGGATAATATAGCGTTTTTAATCACTCGGCGCCCTTCTGGGAGAATGGCGCACTTTTGACAGCACCGCGCCATTCTCATGGTCTAACGGCGCCCTCCTGACCGTCTCGCGTCCTTAGGTCTCTGTTCACCGTGCATCCCTCGACTGTTCGGCGCCCTTCTGGCCTCTCAGCGCCCCTGGACCACATATAGCGTTTTCAATCACTCGGCACCCTTTTACGAGAATGGCGCCCTTTTCATGATCTCAATGCGCCCTCGTAACCATCTGGCGTCCCCACGTCCCCACCAACGTAGCACTACTGACTGTGCGGCGCCCTTCTGGCCTCTTAGCGCCCCTGGACCACATAGCGTTTTCAATCACTCGGCGCCCTCCCAAAAAAATGGCGCCCTTTTCATCGTCTCACGGCGCCCTCGTAAGTCGTAACCGTCTGGTGCCTCCACATTTGGTGCCCCTCCTACTGGATGGCGCACTCTACAGCTTTTTACGTCCTTCCGGTCAGTTTCCACTTTTAAGCGTGTATTTGCTTTGTCAGACACGTCACTTGAAGCGCCATTCGGCTAGCAATGTTATCAAATTCGGTGTTAATTTAGGCTCCCACATAAAGAATATCTATCGCGCCCCAAAACGGCCTGGCGCCGGGCGCCCCTACAGCTGGGCACCCACAATCATTTTAGGAAAATTACACCCCTGCCCGTATGTGTGGTTAACTTTAAGCTGATCCCCAAGTACCTATGTGTTTGTCTCTTCCTTATTCTCGTTTGATAAATTCCATTAATCCTACATGTAACAAATTACCAAGAAGCCATCGCATGGTACTTATCAGTGGCGAATCCCAGGGTGGAGGTCACATGGGTCATGACTTAGGGCCTGGGGTCACCACATGCCTGCCAGGAGCACCACAGGCCTGACAGCCGACAGGGGCACCACAGGCCCGCCAGGGGTACCATAGGCCTAGCAGGGGCACCACGGGCCTGTCAGTGGCACCACAGGCCTGTCAGGAGCACCATCGGCCTAGCAAAAGCACTACAGGTCTTCCAGGGGCACCACAGACCTGCCAGGGGCACCAGAGGCCTGCCAGGGGCACTATCGGATTCGCAGGGGAACCACCGGCCTCGCAAGGGCACCATGGGCCTGTCAAGGGCACCACAAGCCTGTCGTTGGCAATTTAGGATTGTCAGAGGCACCACAAACCTGTCAAGGGCACCTGCGTTCTAACAGGGGCACCACAAACCTGCCAAGGCCCAGGGACACCACAGGCTTAGCAAGGACACCACAGGCCTGTCAGGGCCCATGGGCACCTAAGTCAAGTCAGGGCCCACCGTAGGCTTGTCAGGGGGCAGGGTAGGTAGGTAGGTACCACAGTCTTTCCAGGGGCATCAGCGGCCTAGCAGTCATCACATGACTAACCAAAAATAAAGAAAATAAAAAAAAAACTGAAAATAGGGCACCACCAAAATTAAGTGGCCGAAATCCGTTGAGGTTTTAATTTTGGGCATAGGTAGGGGCACCACTTCGATTCATGGCCCTCCCCTTGGAGTTTTCCCCGAATCTGCCCCTAGTACTAATACATCAAATTTAAGGGGGGCACCTTGCTATTGGTGCCCCCCTTGCAGAATTCAAGGGGGGCACGGTGCCCCGGTGCCCCCCCCCCCGTTCCGCCGCCTATGAACGACCCCGAAATGTGGTTTTAGTTTTTCGCAAATAACTTCGACAAAAATGGTCCTAGAGCTACGGCAGTGGTACCATCGCATTCGCCGTGTCAAGCCGCGTCGAATGATATATATTTTGTTTGGAAAAGGTTGTTTGGAAAAGATTGACCTCATGTGACCTCGAATGACCTTTGGTTGACCTTGACACATGAAAGGTCGTTTATGATGGATTTGTACCCGCTGATCACGAATCTGGCATCTATTTTCCTCTAAGCCTTCATTTAGAGCTTCCGGATGGCAAAATTGTCTTATTTATTATTACTAACTTGAATTAGTGAAATAGCCTCTAGCAAGGATACTTTTCTGTGACCTAGAACTTTGAGCAGCCTTGTATCGTAAGATGAACCACAAATAGGGAACTGATAAGCCTCAAAACATTTCAAAACGTCTTGGAAGTTAGCACGCAAGATGTACGAAAAAGTGCAAAGTTTGAGGTCAATTTTGAGCGTGACCTTGACCTTGACCTTTGATTTTGAGCACATTTTCGGAATCCTCAGATTCTCTTCTTTCGTTTGATACCCAATGTTGCCGGTTTGATGCATCCTGCCATCCTCTAGAAGGCTTACTTTGAGATCACTACACATGTGCCGGTTTTTGCCTTTGACCTTGACATCTGACCTTGAAAATTGACCTGAGGTCAAAAATTTTAGTTGCTTTAGAATCGTCTCGTAAGGACCTTTCGTTTGGTATCGCTTTTGTTTCCGTAGCTCCCTTATTTACGGAGTTAGACAGGGGGGGGGGCGAAAAACGCCCCCCCCCCCGGGCTGCGGTGGTTGGGATTACCCCCGGGCCCGGCCGGGTTAATGAATGCGCTGAGGATGTATGAGTGCGACCGGTATAAAGAGAGTCGCACTCGTAGATTATGAATACTTGACCAGTGCACAGTGCATGCATGGCGGCAGGCGCACCTGTCCCGGTAGTCCACTACCAATTACC